CCCAGGGGGAACAGGCATGGAAGAGAAACCCCTTCCCACCTGTTGTCCCTACTACAGGAGTCCAAGGCGGAGCCCAGCCCCTGCACAGCCTGGCTGGCATGGAATAGGAGCTCCCCTCATCCCCAGAAACAGCAATGGCCCTGGCAGTGGCAGGTGGAGCAGGGGAGAAGGGTGGAGAAGTGGGAGACATGTTTCTGAGCACAGCAGGGAGGGAGAGGTGAATATTTACATTTTTCAGGCTGCTGCTTCTGCTTCATGGTCAGAGAAAGGGACACGGTCATGCCATTGCACCCCCTCTGGATCTATCTCTGCTCCTGTGGCCACAAAATCTGTCCTGACCAAGAGGAAAGGGGAAGTAGAAAAATCACACTTAACAGATTCAGCACACTCTTCTTTGCTGATGGTTGATTGCTCAGGGGATTCATTGCATGCAGCTAAAATGGGTCTTTCTTACTAGATTAATTACTGCACATCTAGTAGCTTGGAAGAATAAATTATAATTACTGTTTTTTCTTTGAAGAGTTTCAGTCTGGCCTCAAAAACAAGCATGGACTAGTAGGAGAGGATTGTACTTAAAAACTGAGATGATTGGGAGTGGCTGCAGAGCCTCAGGTTAACAAGAGATGCTTTCCTCAGGATGTGCCTGATGCTTGCCAAGAGACATAAAGGCAGCATACCAGTTTGAGAGTTTTCTTATCCATTTGGATACATTCATTCATTGACAACTGGAAGCACACCATGCTCAGTTACTCAGGTAGTACACTAATCTTGTGTAAGTTGGTCAGTTGAGCTGGGAAGGTTACTGATGGCTTTACATACATGAGTCGTGCCAGTCTTTCATTGGTCCACTGGATGGAATCCATCTTCCCACAAACGCTGAATACATATGTGTGGGCCCGATGGCCCTAGCCCCCTTGGGAAGAGGATAGGATGACCACCCATCCCTAATTGGGCATGACAGTCCCATCAAGTCCTGGTCCCAGTCCCAGGCTGCATGGCTCCAGGACAGCATTTGTCTTAGATTCCCTTTATTGTGTATCCAGGCTTTCTGTTCACCATGGAAAAACATGGGAAATGGCAGGTTTCCCCTTGCAGGCTAGCTGCAAGGAGCTGTGGGGAGTGGCGCACAGGAGATGCCATGTGCATCCACATGGCCAAGAATACAGCCCCAGGCAGTGGTGGAGAGCAGCTCTCCCAGCTGCCTGCAGATAAGTTTATGGAGTGGGGGGCAGATTAAGGCCTGTTTGGTAAGGGGGGAGTGGGGCTGGGGGCACTTCCCAGCCAGAGCAGTACATAGGGCCTGGGTCTAGGGCAGCAAGTGGGACAGAGTCATAGGGAACTTGTCCAGGGGTGGGAGAAGGCATCTCCCTGTCACGGTGCACACTCCTGGGGATGGGGTTGTGGGGGGGCAACCCCCCCCCCCGATTTGTGCATGGGGAAGGGATGATTATGGGATGCCTGCTGTGGCCTCTGGGCTCCCCACCTTGCTGCCCTCCACCTGGGAGCCCACACTGCCATAGCGAGGCACCCCCTCCCTCCCCTCCCCTCCCCCCCAGCAGCAGTGGGGGGGGAGGGGAGTTGTGTCCCCCCGCTTCTGCCAGGCAGGTAGGGGGTGCCTCGCCATGGTGACATGGCTGGTGAGGGGCTCCCAGGGTGAGGGCAGCAGGGTGGGGAGGGGCTCCCAGGCCATGAGACCCCAGCCTGCCTTCACGCCTGCCCTGCCTTGGGCTCTGCTCAGCTCTGCTCTGGCCGTATTGCTGGAGGGGGAGGAAACAGTCATCATCTTAGGTCTCCCTCTCACTCCCAGCAAAAATTAAAGTCAGCACCTATGCATCTTACTCTTCTTTGTCAGGCTAGGGGTTTCATAAGTAGAGGTCTATGTATACAAAAAAGGGTACTTCTCCAGTGCTTGGTTGACTGTTATGGCTTAGTTGACTATTATGGATGATTCAGGCTGGGGGTGGGTCTTGAAAAATTGATGATACCTGTATTTTCAGAAACTCTCACCTGTTTTGTCATATTAAAAGAAAGGGTGATATGCCAGTGCAGTTAACATAGACATTCAACATATCGGTGTTCCTCCTTTTACCCCTGAAGACCACTGGGATTGGCAAAGCCTTTCGTTGGGCATCTGGATCACAGAAAAGAACTGTTTAATGGTTGCTTAGGCAGTTGTGGGATTTAGCTTGACACAACAGGAGGTAGGTGGTAGGTGTTAAGTGGAAGGCTTGAGGCACCTGAGCATTACCTGCCTCACGTTCTGCCTACCTGCCTGCTGTGTGCGGGACAACATCTGGGGCAGACAGGGTGGGGGGAGCTTGCCAAGGACTAAATGATAAGTCCCAGAGCCACCCTATCTGAAGTACCTGTTGAATCTTTTTGAGGAAAAGGCCTTTAGGGTTTGATATGTTAATTGTAGGTTTCTGACTCTGGAGTGCTGCTCTTCCATGTCCTGGTTGCCTTCATGCAGTATCTGTCAGTCAGCTGTGAGGTGGTTTCTGTGTGACAGACTTGTGGTGTCTGTTGTGCATGCCTGCTGTGCTTTCATGAATTTTAAAAACTGTCTATCTTAAACTCTTAGCACATGGTCTATGTGAATGCTTGGGCCTGCAGGTCTAGGCAGGCCTGTTGTCTACATGCAGGGTCTGTTACACACTTAACAAACAACAGATGCTTGGCTGGCATGACAGGAGAAAATAAAACTCCTTTATAAGAAAACATGGCTTTATCACCTATAATATGTACTCATAGCAAAGAGTAGCAAAAATGCAAAACATGAAAAACTTCTTCCTTTTTCTCCCAGCACAGTTACCTGCATGTAAACATTTTGAGCTGTACAAACAGCAAGGTATTGAAAAGAATAACTCCAATTTAGTATCAACATATGTAAGGGAAGACTATCTGCCATAGGAAGTAGGCATTTTTGCTTTGGGGTTCCTCTCAAGGGTCAGAACAATAACCTAGCATTTGGGTTTAAGGGTTCAAAGGAACTGAATTCCCATAGGGAGCTTCTGTTCTTCTGCAAATCCTCTAATGGACATAGCCTGGGACTGGTGATCCTTGAAAATGCTGTGCACGCTGTGTGGTACTGCACGTGTGAGGCTGGAGGTAGAATGTGAGCAAAAACTTTAGAACATGCTATCCAACAGTAATGTTTGCCTGTTCATGATTACTATGAGCTACTGTATTTCCATTTGCAACAGTTAGGATCCACTCATTCCCTGAGAGATCCTTATCTACCTGGGCAAAAACATAACTACACAGTGTCAGCTACACAGTGCCTGGATCATTCCCACTTCCTACTTTTCCAGTCCTTTTCCTTGTTCTCTCTGTTCTCTTTACCTTTCCCCAGCAACTCTCTCCATTCTTGAGCCAAGCTCTCAGGATTTGCAAGGGTGGCCTTGACCTGCCTTTTCATTCTCTTTATCATTGCCCTGGAGTTCACTAGCTGTTAGGTAATGATTAATGCTGGCGTCTCTGACAGTCTGAACATTGCAGGTAACAGTGCTGCAAAAAAAGGGAAGAAGCTGAAAAGGATTTTGATGAAGACTTGGGCTCCATAGGCAATCCTACTGGTAGAGGATGTGCCCTAATACATGAAACTAGATAGCAGGCAAAGAAATAACCTATTTCTGAAGGCAAAGGAGAATACTGCAAGATGCGTGTTGCTGTTAATCACCAACATGGTGCTTCCAGGAGTATGGCATGACTAGAAAGGCATGGCCATCTATTGAGAAAGCAGGGAAAAGGCACCTTTTGTCTCAAAACTTTCATTTCATATCCCCTGAAGATACACTTATAGTTCACTTTGTCAGTAGTGCTGTTTTGCAGTGGGGGTGTGGGAGGTGGTGATATTACATGACCCTGTAATTCATGCTCTTTGGTACATTGCCCGCTTATGCTATGGATATTGCTACTATACACCTCAGTAAATTTAGGAATTTTATTGATAAGAATTTAGTTTTAAAAAAAGGGTTTAAGAGTTATGGCTCTATGGAAATCTTCCTAAGATTAATATTGACAGGGGGAAAAAAATCCCTTTTAAGCTTTGTTGGTATAAAAATCCTCAAAAGATTTTAGTGGGAAAATGTGCCAAACTTGCTATGAAGTTTTGTATTAAAATCCCACATGATCAAAATGTATCATGTACTTTTTAGAATAGTTGTACAAGGCTCAATTTTCAGTAAATACATTTTTACATTAAATTATTTTTTTTTAATCTGGTGTAGTCAGGAGCTGATTCAGCATCATAGAGGGTAGGGAGCAGGACAGAAGCACAGCATGGGGATAGAGAGGCACCTGACTAAATACAGATCATGGTGGACTCATGGTTTTGGGTGTGTGGCAGGAGGATGAAGATGGCTTCATTTAACTAACAAGGTTCCTCTTTTTTCTCTGTCTGCTGTCACTGCTCTGTTTTCAGGTAGTTATTTATCATGTTGGCTCCTCATCCTACTTCTTGTTCCATTACTACTACTGCTATTACTATTGCAACTCATACTTCTTCTGCTTCTGTCCTTATCATAAATTAAAAGTTGATAACAAGGTATTTAGCAGAATTTAGCAACTTCATTGGAAGCTGACAGGGGCTATGACATGAATGCCTTTGCTACAGACATTATGGTTTTTCCACTGAAGAGACGTGATCAGTGCATTCATTCCCCTAGCACTGGCCAGTATCAACTAGCCAGTTGGGGTTGATAGGCAGTTGGGGTAAAATTAATGTGGTGCTATGACCACCTGAAAGGATTTGAAAACACACACCTCCGCCCCATTGTGCTAGGCATGGGACAATCCCAGCTGGGGTTTCTCAGACCTGTTGTAACACAGACCATCAACAAAAGAAGTAAGAATTTAGGGAAGGGAGGAGAAGTAGAAGGAGGACATTATCTTCCTCTTATTGACATAAAATGCTGCTTACTATGTGGCTGAAATGTTGACAGTGCTACCATAATGATTTTATAAGTCATTATCCTGAAGCACTGTTACGTCAAAATAGAGAAAGGAAATCTGTTGTCAGAACACTGTCCCTTTAAAAAAATTTTAAAAAAGGGTGTTATAAGGAAATTCCCAGTCTGTGGAGCTTGAGTGGGATAATCTGCAATTTTCATTTTAGGCTTTGGATGACATTAATTGCTTCCACACAGAATAGTTTTCTTAGCAGCAAATGGAAAAAAAAACCTGAAAGAGTTTCGACTTGCAGCTTTGGGTTGTTAATATATTATAATAGAAATTTTCTACAGTGAAATATGTAGTGGTGGAATGCAGACAGATCTGTTTGGAAGTGAGTCAGGACAGGAGACACTGCAATTAGGACACAATCCAAAAATGCATTCATGTCAATGGGAGTCCCTTCATTGACTCTGGTGGGCTGTGGAGCAAGCTTTTATAAAATACACTGTGTATATGCATAATAAATGCTCAGTAATATAGCTAGGGCCATTAATTTCCTGGTATGGAGCTATTACTGGTAAATTGGAAATATTAGTCAGAAGATGATTTATGTGGTATGTATAAAAGTGTGAGCATTTTACATGCAGTATAATCATAGTGGTTCTGGTGCCTCACTATGGCTCCAGAGGTAGATTAAGGAATTGTCTGCTCTGCTTCCATGCCACATTGGAAACCAGTGCCAAGATACATGCCTGCCCGCTCAGTGCACATCAAATCTGGGAAATGAGGCTGGATAGCTAGCTCAGGATGGCTCTGCATGTGTCCCCAGTGCTGCTCTTGGTCTCTTTCCCTCTCGGGCATTCTCATCAGAATGCACACAAGGCCCCTCTAAGGAAGTAACACAACTTCATTTCCAGGATTTGGTATAGAGTGGGTGGGAGTGAGTGGGCAGGCTGTACTGCTTTGGAATGTCTCAGACATAGCATAGGGGTATCGTGGCCATGTTCTAAATTATGACATGGAGTTGTGCCAAAGGTCTCCCCCTCCACCCCACCTTTCCATCTACCCATCTGTAAATGGGCAACTGATCATTTAAGCTGAAGAGTCAGGGGGACAGATATGCCACATTACTCCCTTGTGTGGAGCTGGCCTTGGAAATCACCCTACCCTAACGATCTGGTAGGTTTGAGTGGATTTTTGCCCTTTGGAAACCATTGTGACTTTTCTATCACAAATTTCACGTAAGTGCATTTTTCATATAACTGAAGTATATGGTCATTTGAAACGCTGCTCATTTTTTCACAACTGTTATGTTAAGATATAATATAACTATTTTATTCCAGATTCAGGCCTTCAGTGCAATAGAACTGCTGTAGTCCTGATACCTCATGATCTTTTGTCCCATACCAGGATTTAGACTGGTATAGATCATGACTGCTCTACTACTGCTAGGTGGGACAGCAAACTACCATGTTTTGTGAGTAGTACTGTGCACAATGACTGTTTTTCGGGTTCTCCCTGCTATATTTATTTTAATGAATTGACCAACCACTGCTGAGGTTTGCAACAAATCATCATACTGTATTAAAAGAAATACAATACTGTCTTACAGTATATTTAAAAAGGTTTGTATTGCTTACAAATTTTCAGGTTAAAATATAATGAACATTTAATTCAGGGCCTGATCCAAAATCCATTAAGGGCAGCGGAAAGATTTTAATTGTTCTGATTTCAATGAAGTTTGAACTAGTACCTATCTGGAGAGAGGAATTTTTGCCCTGATAGGTCACTCAGCTGACAACTGTTTTTCATAACTGCTGGCTGGGGATCGTTTTTAATCCATGGGGATCTTTTTTAATTTCCCTTTCCAAATGTTATTCATTTGGCAAGGGCTCTTCATCTGCACTGGTAATTTGGATGGTTAGAAGAACTGCTCTGGATGTCCAGCTTCTCCTTATTGACTCATGCTTCTGTCCTATAATCTGCTTTGCACAGGCAGATCTCTACCTGGATAAAGCTCTAGTGAAGATAGCCAGGGGTTCACCTGCATAGAACAGGTGGCAAATCCAAGTGCAAGGCTCCAGGTTTCTGCAGGTCCAGTTGAAGTACCAGGGCATGACCTCACACATATCAGTTGTCCTATTGAGCTTAATGACATGCAAACTCTCATGCAAAATCTTGTGTAGCAGTGGGGTATATGTCCTTGATCCTGCATATTGCTCTATGTGGACAGAGCTCTGATGGCTTCAGGGTGCAAACAGAAGAGCAGCTTCCTCCTGTAACTCAGGAAACATTCTAAGTTGCAACAATCCCCCGGACCAACGAGAAGTTTGCATTGAGCTGGGGGCAGGTGGGGGTTCCTAGCCATCACTGGAGGGTGGGGTGGGTGGATAGGAGCCCCCCCGCTGTGCGCGTGCACACACACACACACACACACACACAGACTCACACACTCACACACACACACACACACTCTCTCTCTCTCTCTTCTCCAGCATCAGCTGAAAAAACCCTAGACCAAACTCCCTTCGCTCCCTTTCTCCCCTCCCATTCTGCAAATAGCTTGAGGCTGGGAGGGAGGCAGACACAAGTTATTGAAGGCACTATGTTTTGAAACGTCTACATCTGAACGCTCATGCAATGAGGGTTCAGATTTTAACAGGATTGGGCCCTTTTCAAGTGCTTTGGAACTGTGCACTTCTGTTTGGTCATGACTGCAGAGAGCTCTCAGGGGCCAGATCAGGCAAAAATTGTCACTTCTGTCCACACCCTCAGTGTAAACAATAAGGCTCTTCCTATATGGCAAAGGCTATAGAATGTGGGGCCTTAGATTATCGGCTGTTGTGTTTGCAGAGAGCTTAGCACAATGGGTCTGGGATCCTAAGACTTTCAGAAATAATATCATATAAATCATTATTCATTATTATTATAGTGAAGTGCAAAGCAGGCAATTAGTGCCTGAAAGGAAGTTTATTTAAATCTGAATGGCAGGGACTGATTGCTGAACACTCAGTGTTACTGTTTATTTCCAAATGCAAAGTTTCACATCTAGAAAAAACAAATGGAGGTGACACAGGATAGCAGTGGCTATATCCTGGAAAAACTCTGAAAAAGATTCAATAGCGTATGTGGCATGGTGTGGGGTAGGGAGAGGGGTAATCAGCTGAACATTTCCTCCTGCTGTGATGCCGTGACTGACAGCAATTGCAGTTGTTAGATGTACAAGCAAGGTAATATCGAATATGAGTAGGGTTGTGATTTTACCTCTGAATAAGGCATTAATGCGAATCACTGGAATACTGTGACAAATTGGAAATGGTCCAGAAAAGAATAATCTGAAGTCTGGCCAGCCTGCTTTGTAATGAAAAATTTAGGAAACTCTTTAGCTTGTCAATGAGAAGGTTAAGATGTGACTTGATCACCGAATACAAGTAGCTACCTGGAGAAACAATTTTCTGATAGGAGAGGACCCTTTAATCTAGCAGACGAAGACATAACAAGATATGCCTGGAAACTGAAGCTAGATAAATTCAGAGAGGTAACCAGGATACCCATGAGGGCAGTTAGCTGCTGCTGGGACAATTTATCAAGGGATGGAGGTATTCTCCATTATTTGTGGTCTTTAAATCAAGACAAAATTGCTTTCTAAATAGTATGCACCAGCTTGTTTTCTAGATCAGGGGTTGATGCAGGAATTAATGGTAAAAAACACTGGCCCTTGTTAAACAGATGGTCAGGCTAGATAACGGTCCTTTCTGGCCTTACAGTCTATGAAACAGGAACTTGGTAAGAAGATTGTACCTTTCTCCCCTCTCAGAACATCTACCAATATGCTATAGTACAATGTGTTCCAATGCATCATGTGAATTCTCTTTTGCTTCTCTGCACAGCTCCAGTAATGACCTAGTGAAACAACACATAATCCCTCACCAGCCAAGACACTGACATTTATTATTAGCTCACTTAGTGGAACTTGCAGGGGTTTTTTCCTGCAGCTTCTTCCCAATTTGCCCAATTATTAAACATAGTTTCTGGCAGCTTTAATGGCATTTCTCACAATTGTCTTTTCACTTGAGGCAAAAGCTGATAGCCCTCTTTTTCTTCTCTTGTGTGAGAGCTTAAAATGTTGAATGATATGGTATAAATTATATTTATATACCTGCCACAGGCTAGACAAGAAATTGGAAATGAATAATTTCTTTAATTTAGGATTAGAGTGACTGATTAAGATAAAATTTAAGAATTGATACAAACCTATTTTTAATGGCCAAAGTAAACCTTTCAAAATGTTTATTGAGTGTTGAATAGTCTTGCTATTTTCCCCTCCCTGCCACATCCCATTTTTGTTTACATTTTCTTGCACATCTGCATTTCTGCCTTTCTTTTGATTACATCTGAATCTGCCAAAAAATACAAGAGTGTTGCTATGGTCAAAAACAGCTTTTGTGCAATTTCAGTCATTTATAAATGGTATGTGCTCCCCATTGTCAGAGCACCTTGTATCACTAAGGAGTTTTTCCTCACAGGTGCTCTGTGGTGTGGAAGCCTCTGTTAGTTCCCAGTCTTCCACAGGAACTTAAGGTTGCACCTTGTCCCTGGCAATTCTGAATAGCAGTGCTATAGAGACACCCCACACACCCACTCCGATGTGTGCACCAAACCTGGAAAATGAGGTGGGGGAGCTATTCTGAAAACAACCCCCCTACACACACACACACACACACTCTCTCTCTCTCTCTCTCTCTCACTCTTGAGATCTCTCTACTGAACTTGCAAACAGTGGCAGGGGATGCTTCTGGAGCTGCTCTCCTGTGTCTTTTCCAGTTTTGGCATGTACAAGCAGGACTTGGGGAGCAGCTTGCACACAAAAGCAATACTCTTTAGGAAGAGTTCCTAAGTGATTCGTTCCAGGAAATCTATGCTGGACTATGGAACTGAGTCCAGTTCAGTGTCCCAGGCATTGGTTCATCCTTCTTTCTGCCCTTCTACTGCAGCCCACAAAGGCAAAGCAAGCAGTTTCTGCACCCTGGCTACAGTGGTGACTGGGCCACCAGCAGTAGTAGTGGCTGTGGTAACCATTCTTGCACACCCTTTCCCTACCCTCCCAAATCAGTGCCTGGGGCTGTTTCTCTACTTGCCCATGCCAACGTACCCCACTGGTAATATGGCAAAGAAAACAGTGCAGTGATCGTGTCCTTTAAACAAAAACAAACCCTGGAAAAGGAGTAGAAAAGCAATGACTGCACTATTTTTCTCCTGACAGCACTAGGGGAACTAAATATCTCTGTCTGAAATAACGTTTTGATAGTTGTGTGTATTCAGCTGTGAGTCACCTGTCTCTATAGGAATGTCTGCAGAATGCAGGATTTTTGTCTGGCTCATTGGAAGGTAACAACATATGTGCTTTGTTCTCCCACGAAACAACTTTATGCCCTTTTATCTCCTTTATCTTTTATCTCCAGTAGCAGTCATTAAGTAGATCAGGGCAATATTTGAAGTGTTACGATTTAAATGCAAAGAATAATTCTGTCAAAACAGAAAAGGAAAATCTGAAAACACATAGCAAGCCAACCCACCAGAAGGTCATACCTCACACTGGACATTAGAGTGCCATGTAATAGTGTTAGCATCACACAGATTTAATGTCACCCTGGAATGGCTGTAAAACATCATCTCGTAAAACTGTTTTTTTTCCATTTCTACAGCATGTTAGAGATCTTAAAACTCAAATAGCCATTGATTTGCATTGTCAGAAGAACTGGATGTCTTACTCAAGGTGGTCTGGCCTTGAATTTCAGAATTGCTGAGCAAGTACAGCTCCAGTTGACTTTACTGGAATATGACAATTTAGGACTTCTGACAATGAGGGACATGGTGTAGGCAACTATCCTTCTTTAGGAAGTTTGGCAGGTATCTACTGGAACTGTTTGCTATGTTAAATAGAGACTCATGCTATACAATACTAAACAATTAGAATTGAGACACTGAATGAAGCAAAGCTCTGTCAGACTCCTAGATTCTGAATGACCACAGAACCACCCATGGTACAAGGAGTTATAGGAACTAAGCAAATCTCCTGAATATTGGAACAGTTAAAAACTCCATCAGAGTTCAACCCCTATGATCAAAAAGTAGCTTTACTAGACAGTAGCTGCTTCTGAAGAATTTAGGGCAGAATTCTGTTTCACCTGAGTGTAATTTCCCCCCCCAAAGTCCCTAATTTTTCCAGCATTGTTGTCCTCCATAAAATTAAAAACTGAAGAACGCATTGGAAGACATTCCATTAATTTTTTCCTTCCAGCTATGCAGGATCTCTGATATTTAAACTATTTAAAAACCTTTCCCATGCATAAAATATTCCACTGTTTTAACTATAACCTATTTCCTCTCACAAGACAAAATTGGCACTAGGCAGCTCCTACTATTAGAAATTCAGAGACTGAATGTCAACTTTCCAATAGAGAATCCCCAGAATAAAAAAACAGGGTTGGTTGTGATCCATGAAAACCAAGATTCTTCTTTCCACAGATAGCATTCCTTTCTTATTTCTTGTGCAGTAGCTACTGACAGATTTAATGTGCAGAATATACTTTATGCTTTTTTCTTCTGTAAATATATAATATCCTTCAAATGTCCTTTTAAGTTGTATAAAAATATGTACTTGTGCACATCCACAAAAAGTGACTTGTCAACTTGTAACTTAAAGTCTTCTATAACCTGATTATCAACCAGATAAAGGCGATACTGGAAATCTTCATTGCTTTCCCAGAAACATATATAGAAAATTATTGTTTTTTCCTTATGTAAGTTATCAGACATACAGCATTGTGGCAAATATTATGTTGCAATCAAGTTTGCATATGTGTATACAGAAGGGGAGGTTTAACTTAGGATTTTTGCTTATAATTGCTAGTCTTATTTTTTCTACTTTTTATTGAAAATGTACAGTTTGAAGCACAGCTGTGAAAATGATCTAGGAAGAGTTTTTTGAAAAGTTAATTCAGTTGCATTCATGTATTTTTTTGTCTGTTTTCAGTGACTTTTCTGACCAATTAATTAATACATTTACTGTCAGATATATTTGGCGAAATAACAAAATTTAAGCTAATTTTGAAGACTACAAAGAAAGAATGCTACTTCACACCAGAAGCTCTTAAAATAGATTTCCACTTACCTGATTAGAGCAGAGAAACTAACTCTGTTATCCAGCAAACATATTTTGAATATTGAATTTTTATCACTAGTTGTTTGCGTACAATCTCTAGGCTAAGAAATGTCTGCAGAAATCATTTTGTTAGTTATTTCAAATACTGAATACATTCTTGAAGTCTGTGATCCTTTCAAAGACAGAAACATTTTAAAATTCATAACGTTTTATTTGCACAGCTCTAATTAGCAGAAACAACCACCTAAGTAATATACCATTGTGTTTTACAAATGAAGATCAAGAATGCCAACATTTTTGTTAATGCTTTTTTTTCAATGTAAATAGCAACTTTTTATTATGGGGTGTGATAACAGACTTTCAAAAATATTGACACTTACCATCTCGGGCAACCTCTTGCTGGCAGTCATGACCTTCTCATTTGAGTCGACATCTGTTGAGGGAGAGCAGAAACTTTTCCAGGACACTAAGAATATTTTCTCTGCTTGTTTATGGTGTGGGAATACGTATCTTTTATCTGAACGATTCTGCAGGACCAGAGGGAGCCCCAGATAAACAGCTTGGAAGAGAAGCAGTTTTTGAGTGCATATGAAATGGAAGTGGAAAGGAAGATTTCCATAAACGGTCCAATATAGAGAAACCAAAATATGCATGTAACCCTTCTGTCAGATACTGGTCAGCAGCAAAAAGAGCCAGGTTCACATTTCAGGGTACCCCATAAATTATACCAGTGGCTCAAGCCCACCACCCAGAAATCTAGAAACACTAAATTTTCTGTATAAACAAAACCCCCTCCTCGCAAGCAGTGTAAACACAAACACCTAAATTTATTGCAAGGCAAGGTCTATAGGTGGCACCCTCTTGGGGAGGTGTCACCCATGCCCAGGCAGTCTTGGACTTGGGGCTCCCAATGGGTAGTTCTGGGGGTCTGCATCCCCATACTTGCCCTTCAGCAATGGGCTGGAGAGGGGGTCCCACACTGGAGAGTCGTATGAACTGCTCCCTGGGTTGACTGCCACAGGGAGCTGCTTGAAAATGTGGGTTCTTCTGTGTTGCAAGGGGCTCCATTGCTCCTGGAGAAGTGGTAAAGTGCTGACTTCCACTTCCATGTGGTGGCTTTGAGGGGTTACCTGCGGATTTTGTCAGCATAATGCACCCCAAAATTCCTAGTCCCAATCCTAGCTCTGCTGGGAAGAAAACTTCAAAAGAACTTGAAGGAAAGGTCAGGCCTATCTTGGTTGGGCCTGAACTGGACAGCAAAAGCCAGCCAGCTCTATACTGCACTCAAGCCTGGATCAACAACAAGAAGTGCCAAATCTCACCCTGGCTCAAACCATACCAGGCTTCACCCTGGCCTAAATCTGCCAGCCAAATATGTGGTTGGGGTTCATCCACGAAGCTAGACTGAAACACAATAGCTGTGAAACAGCAAAAAGGGCCTAGGCCTCTGGCTGCAGCCTGCACATCCAGTCTCAGCTACACCACTATGCTGAGACACTACAATTACAGAACAGAGGGGGCCAGGCCCATGTGGCCAGTAACTGCCAGGGCCCCATTCCTGCTCAGTCTGCCCCAGGGATTAATACCCCCATGGTATTATCCCTCTCAAAATAAAAAGGGAAAGAGGAAGGAAATAGGGGTCTCAAACTCCGAGACAGACTTTCCCTGTACCTGGGGCTTTCCCATCACATAGCTGGAGTCACCTCTCCAGTGAAGAGTGAGGGAGACCCC